GGGTGAAAAGCTTGAGGGTACATTTTAATAATTTAACAAAATAATAATTTAAGTTCGTGTTCACTTACTTTACTTTTAATTTTTAGCTCTTATTTTTATATGCCATTATTAATTTTTTATATGCGATTACTTTTTATATGACGAAATATTACTACATAAAAATAGACATGCCGATCAAAAGCGACAGTCGAGATATTTTCAAACGGCGTGGTGCATTATCTGCGTTATCTCGGATTGCATGTCGCAAATTATTGTATCAGTCTATATGGTCTATTGAATCAAAGTAATCAGGACTTGTTTACACCTTTCCATTGCCATACGTCTTTTCCGGGTTCGCGACGCCATCTTCAAAGTATTGTTTTCGCTATTGTGCTTGCCCCACTTGCAAATTTACCTATTGGGAATGCCCGCAAATTTCTACCCTCGACAATAAAAACCATAAAATATTTTAGAAATACGACCCCGGACTTTTTATATATGACCCTCGACTTTTTTATATATGATTTTTCGACCCTCGCTTCCCACCCTCGACCCTCGAGAAGAACTCCTGAAACTGAATTACTAAAAATAGCTAACGTAAACAAACCACATTTATCAAACGCGCAAAGAAAATTATTTAAAAAGTAATATATTGTTAGTCGTGTCATATAGTTAATTGTCAACACTTTTTCAATGCATGGTAGTAAGTTTATAACTGGCACCAAGTTATGTTGATATTTTGTTTATACAGATTGATTGTTTTAATTTGTAAGGCTTCTGTAAGTTTGTTATTATCAAACGTTTAGATTGTTCTAGTAATGATTTTACTTTAAGACCAAGACAATGCAGCTGTCGAGACCGAGTTTTAGTACTCTATAAATAAAACATTAAACTGTGTAATAGAAGTGATAGTGTTGGGTAAAGCTATCTATAGTGATATATATTTTATACGCGCTTTTGTCTAATTCAAGCGTGGTAGACAATATTGCCAATATTGTTGTGGTTTGCGATATAAATTGCCTCGCGAATCGAAGACTTTCAGATATGTCATATGTCGAATAGATTTGTGCGTTGTTTGTACTTCAATTTTGGCCACGAGGCACAAATTAGGGAGACTTAAAGAACACGAGTGACGAGTGTTAACACAATTTAACTACGTACAGTGTTGACAAAATTTAAAAATACCGGGCTAACGTCAGTAACGAACCAAGCCAGTTGTCGATCAGAATTAGCTTTCCAATAACGGCAACCGCTACTAAACACGCGAGAAAGTCTCGAATTTCGATTTGTATTTATATGAACTGTGGTCATTGTATAAGAACGAGTGTATGAGAACCCCTCCATTTGATAATATTTACTGTAAATAGAACTAAATACATTGTAAACACAACGCTCACTCCGATCTACTACGAATGGCGGCTATTTTTAGATATTTCGTATTTTTGTAGTGCGTTGCGTGCGTTACGTACGGTGCACCTGTGGAAGTGCACACTTGCGTCGCCTAAGAAAAAAGATTGGCCATTTTAATACTCCGGTACTTACAGTACCCGGAGTAATAAGACTGCCTGTTTTACGGATTATATCTGCTCTAAAAACGTCGAGATCACCCGAATCACACCTGTCACCTCTCAGACCAGGTTCTGGGCATTCCACAACAGACTGTTCAGCTGAACATCCATCCTGCCTTGAAAAATCTAGGGCTAGAGACATCAATTTCACACTTGCCTCTACCCCTTGCAGGGAAACCCCAGTATTTCCAGAGAATTTGGTAATGTCTAACTGGGGATCAGTTTATTCTGCAGATAGTCTCTTGGGTCAAAATACCATTTCGGGAAACCCCTGTTCAAAACAGACATCCAGTTCCCCACACTCATACCCAGTTAGAAAAGGAAAAAATCGAGCAGGAAGTTGTGGCAATGCTGCAAAAGGAGGAATTCAGGTGGTCTCTCCACGCAAAGAAGACTTTCTCAGTCCAGTATTTTTAGTACCGAAGAAGGATGGGGGGAGCAGGCCTGTGATCAATTTGAAAGAGTTGAATTCACACATCGCATACCAGCACTTCAAAATGGAGGGTCTGCACCTCCTAAAACAACTTGTTCAGAACAAGGATTACATGATCAATATCGATCTCAAGGATGCTTATTTTTCAGTACCCATGAGCAAACAGCATCGACATTTCCTAATGTTCACCTGGGGGGAAGAACTGTATCAATTCACTTGCCTTCCCTTTGGGTTAGCACCAGCTCCTCTATTGTTCACAACGCTGTTGAAGCCAGTAGTGTCGCTTTTGCGTCGCCTGGGTTTGAGGATGATAATTTATCTAGACGACATAATTGTTTTGAACCAAACTCAGGAAGGCATATTAAGGGACAGGGACTCAGCCTGTGGCTTCTGCAGAACTTGGGTTTTGTGACCAACTGCGAAAAGTTGGTGCTACAACCCTCCCATACCATGGAGTATCTAGGTTTTGTGATAAATTCTCTAGAGATGAAGCTGTCATTACCAGAAACCAAAATGAATCATCTTGTGCAATCTTGCCGAGATCTGATTCAAAAACAGGTGTCCTCGGTCAGAACAATAGCAAAGGTGATAGGGAAGCTGACATCCTCCATGCAGGCAGTTTTCCCAGCACCCTTGCACTATCGACACCTGCAACGATTACAGATCAAAGGTCTGTTGACGGGAAAATCCTACGAGACGATGGTCTCACTCGATCAGAACTGTCGCAACGACCTTCAATGGTGGATCGATCAGAACTCCATCTGGAATGGTCGAGCAATAATTGCTCCTGCCCCGGATCTGGTGATAACAACAGATGCATCAATGAGGGGCTGGGGCGCAGTTTGTCAAGGGGTTCATACAAGGGGATTGTGGACTCCTCAGGAGGCCACCTCCCTTCATATCAATGCTCTAGAACTAAAGGCAGCCTTTTTTGCAGTGAGGGCCTTCACTGCAAAGAAAACCCAGTTACATGTTCATTTAAGAATGGACAACAAAACAGCTATTACCTATATACTCAAAATGATGGGTACACGGTCTTCAATCCTACTGCGCATTGCTCAAGAATTGTGGAATTATGCCCTACAAAATCAAATTTCCCTAACAGCAGAGTATTTACCGGGGAAAACTAATCACGAAGCCGATTGGGAATCTCGAATTATCAGGATTCCAGCGGCTGGAAATTGAATTCCCATGTGTTTCAAACACTGAACACCCAGTGGGGACCCTTAGAAATAGATCTGTTTGACAACCGACTCAACATCCAACTGAAGAGTTTTGTGAGCTGGTTCCCAGACCCATTTGCCAAAGCAACAGATGCTTTTCAGATCCCTTGGTCGGATCTCAAGGGGTATTGCTTTCCACGCTTTTCTCTGATTTGCCGTTGCTTGGCAAAGGTCAGGAAGGACATGGCAACAATTGTTATGGTCACACTAGCTTGGCCAACACAGGCATGGTACCCAGTTCCACTGGAAATGTCCTGCAGACAACCCATTTTACTGCCTCCTCTTAAGGACTTGCTAACATCACCCAGACAGCAAGTACATCCTCTTGCGCAACAAGGCAGTCTGCAGTTAGCGGCCTGGATGGTTTCCGGAAAACCATATTGCAGAAGGAGTTTCAGAGCAAACTGCCCAGCTACTTAGCACCCACTCCTGGCGCAAAGGCACTACAGCCGCTTACAATAGTGCCTGGTCACAGTGGTGTAGCTGGTGTACTGAAAGACAAATTGATCCATTTTGCTCCACTGTGGCCGCTGTAGCTGACTATTTAACTACCATGTTTGAAAAAGGTAGATGCTATCGTACAATTAATAATCATAGGTCAGCAATTTCTGCCTATCATAAGAGTGTTGATGGACAGAAAGTCGGGCAACACGAGTTGGTTTGTCAGGTGTTGAATGCATGTTTTAATGCCAGACCACCACAACCAAAGTACGCTATGATGTGGGATGTTGATGTAGTGCTTACTTATATATGCTCTTTGCGGTGTAACAGTAATTTGTCAGACAAACAACTGACATCTAAAGTAAGCATGTTATTGGCCCTTGCATCAGCAGGTCGTTCATCTGAGCTTCGAGCTCTTGATCTGAGATTCATGACAATGACTGACAGCAGCATTATTTTTGAGCTTGGTCGACTAACAAAGTCACGGAGAAAAGGGCAAAAACCAATCAAGCTGATATTTAATTCCTGCCAGTCGGACCCTTTGTTATGTGTAGTGTCAGTCATTACCTCATATGTGGATCGTACAAAAAGGTGGCGTTCTGTATTAGCTCAGACCCAGTTATTGCTAAGCTTTGTTGAGCCCCATAAGGAGGTGGTGCCTTGTACAATTGCAGGCTGGTTGGTAGGACTGATGAATGAAGCAGGTGTGAACACCTCTGAATTTAGTGCACACTCTACCAGGGGTGCCTCTACTTCTAAAGGCTAAAGGCCTCTCGTGTCAGGAAATCAAGAATAAAGCTAAGTGGAAGAAGGAATCCACTTTTAAAAGGCACTATTTGAGGCATGTGACTGCTGAGGCAACAGTTGGGCAGGATGGTTTCCAGGAAACAGTATTCCAAACAGGTCGGAATGCTTTGAACATACGCTATTATATCTTATGGAGGTTTGTGAAATGAAATTGGAAATTTCATCAGTACGCGAAGCGCACGCATTGAAATTATAACATGAGCAAACCAAAATAAGATATAATAGCGTCCCTCCCTGCCACTCCCAATTTCCTATTACTTGAGAGGAGATTTTTTGAAAAATTGAGAAACTCGCGATCAAAAATACCGAGATGCTTTGCGAAAAAATAGTAAATTTTGTTGTTTTTTGGAACATGGCTGCAAAGGAGTGAACGTGTTTAAATTTTGCTCTATTGATCTCATGAAAACTCGCTCGATGTTACATCTAAGAGATGAAATGGTATATTCAGCATATTTTCCTGTACTGGAAGTTAATAAAACATCTCCACGGCGTTTTAAACAACAACAACGTGCTTCGAACTCTGGAGGTGTATACTTCGAATGCAGAAGCCAAGAAGGTACGAATATTTTAACCGCTTCAGTTCTGTTTTTATGTGGCTAGATCTTAAAAATAATTCCGTCAATAGCGACATATATGCCTAAACTTTGTATCTTTTCTGCATCGATTTGATCTTGGCCCCAGATATTTGTATTTTGCCTTTTCAAGTGAGTGACCTTTCTTCGACTTTAAAAGCCCCATTGTCGTTCGCTCCCACAAATTATCCTGCAAATACACCTTGAAATTTATGTTGATTTCACAAAAAAATTATTGCATGTGAAAGAGTGTTATCGTATGCCCAAATAAATCTCAATTTATGCATGTATTGAAGTGTACTGTGTTGATAAACGTCCATTTTCCTTTTGCAAACATTATTGTATGTCATTTCTCGCGCCAACTTACAAAATCGATTCACCTTGGATATTTTAGATATTTTTACGTTTAAACCTATTGGCGCACTGTGGGACTTATAGTACATTGTAGTACAGTCTTTGAGGATAAAAAAGTGCCTGTTTGAAGAAATTTTAGGTGAATGGTCCTCGCACAATTTTTAAAAGTAAATGTTTTAGTTTCTCATTTTCCTCACTTTTTCCTAAAATAGATGGCTTTTGTTTTGATTGTTTTAAAATACTCTACCTAATGGTTAAACATTAATAGGCTTCCTAACTATGTAGCTTTGTAATCAAGTGCCATTATAATGCTGGCCAAAATCTAGAAGAAAACTCTGAAAAAAAAATTATGAAATTTTTTGATCATGAAAATGTTGATTTTCTGCCAAGTGGGCAAAAGAATGACTGAAGGCTTTACAAAATTGCAAAAATAATGCTTAATATTGATTGGCACACCGCAAGGTGTATCTACGCTTGAAGTTTATGTATTACACTTCAAAGTTAATATGGTTTGGGAAAATTTCAGGTGCATGGTCCTCGCAGAATTTAGCCATTTTCATCGGCTTTTCTTTTCGAGTTTTATTGCATTTAATTAAGGTGGCTCTATGATGTTTTGCAAGCTGTAAGGAAATATGTGCTGAAAATGCAGTATTCTTCATGATTATAAATCACTATGGATATCAAAACTTTTCTAAAGTGTATTTTAGCATTTAGGGGCTGTTTACCTGAACCTGGCTAGCCGCTTGTAGCCGGGCTGGCCCGGTTAACTGAGGCGCCCGGCTTATTACAAATTCTTTAACAAAACAATTTTAGTTTATATGTCTAGCCCGCCTAGCCGAGATCTCACTCGAGTCAAACGGGGCGCCCGGCTAACCGGGCTGAAATTTTCTCATGTAAAGACACCAGCCCGGGTAGCCGTAGTATTTTTTGGACAAATAGTTATTTCTTAAGTTGTTCTTAACATGCATTTGGCTTGTGTGACAAATTTCCCCCCGCCATATTTGGCTTGATAAAGTTTCAGCCCTGTTGATTGGGCTAGCCAGGCTCACGTAAACAGCCCCTTAATGGATTTGTACACTATATGTCACATGTGGTTGCTATGGTAATCTGAATTCATTTGCTAATTATTTTCTAACAAGATGATATTTTGTATTGATTTCTTTCCCTGCTTTTGCTAACATTAGAGCACTTTTCATTAGCCCTTAGTGTTCCTAGCACATACATCAGTCCTTGTCGTAAGCAGACAAATAATTTTCCTAAAAATTTCCTTTATCAATTTCTTCAGGATCATTGCAATGGTAACATAATTAACCCACTAAGCTGCAGAGCTAGCATTATGTGGAACTAGCAAAACCAGTAAATGGGATGAATTTGTTTTGTTTATATGTCAGAAAGTTTCATATAGGAAAGCTGTCACCTCTCTTGTCTTTGATCAAAATTACCTTTGCTTACCTCAGGATGAAGTAAAAATAGTTTTTTTCTGAGAATAGGCCCTTCCATGGTTAAGGATGCCATCTTGAATATATTGTTTTCACCACTGTGTTTGTACCCCTTGCAAGTTTACCTCCCCTATAGGGAATTCCATTGTGTTTGCACCCCTTGTACTATTGTTTCATTATGGCATTGTCAACCTTGGAAGGGTCTATTGCTTTCAGTTATGGAGGCTTAACACCATATACTGAGTTGATTTGAGTTCATTAACCCTTTAAGTGGCAATGTACCGTAAACTCATTGTGCCTTACTTTAGTATTTTACTCTGTCTAATGCCAGATGATTTTACTCAGCATCAGGTTTGAGCAATTCAAACA